GAAATTGAATTTATCAATGAATTAGCTAATGTGTCGCCACCTACTAAACAAAAAGGTAAAGGTAGAAGAAAAAAGAAGTGTCCATTATGTAAAAGATAATAATAGTAWGTATAAATACAGAAAAATAAGTAAAAATGAATCAAATTTGTGGCGTTATAGATTGCCAAGGATTCAATTTTACAGATAGATTTGTTCCTCGTGAATTATCTATAGTATCAGATAATTTATCATTTTGTATAGAGTTTAATCCTCAAATCAATTGGAAAACGCTGACTGAAGCAGATCAGCAAGTAGTATTATATTCAACAAAATTTAAACATGGCTTATTTTATCTACCATTTAATCACGAACAACATTGCTACTTACCACATCCAAATGAAATCTACAACATTATTAACCTGTTTTACCGGTTAATTGCCAGTCCGGAAAAACCCTACTTTGCATTCAAGAACACACAACTGGCGGACATATTAAAAGACTGCGAAATTAAATGTATAAACTTGGATTCTATACATTTTCCCTGTCATAATGTCCTAATGGAGAAATATGGAAATAACTATATCTGCGCATATCATAAACGACCKCCATCTGGTGTGAAATATACTTGTGCATACAGAAAAGCTGCACAAATCTACAGAGAAATCAATAATAGTAACCAAGCACCAGTACAAATTATCGAAAAATGATGCAATTTTGGACTTCACTCGTTTCATTTAACTTAACCAACAGCAAAGACAAATATTTTAAAGTGGCTCAAGTAATGGAAAACAAAATTGGTCATTTAATATTTGACCTACGACAAACTGAAAGAGGAAAACGTACAAAATCGGGAATAACAGTATTGGTTCCTGAATTTGATTGGTTCAAAAAGACATTAATAACAGGTTCTAATAATGTGCATATATTGGAACATAATAATCGAACTTTTAAAATTGACAAGACATCTGAAGAACCAGTACTTATTTTGATTAAAAGTAATGGAAGCGAAAGAAAAATTGTAATAAAAAGCAATGAATTGGAAGAACTACTGGAAAAAATGAAAGAAATTGAAGAAAAGCTTGTTAATCGAGCTGTTGAATTAAACATTGCTACCGTTTTTAATAATACTTCATATGTAAATTCATATGAAGAGTAATCATTCATCAATATTATGAGGCTATGGCCTCATAGAGGTGCCCATTTTATTAATATTTGTAATATATATATATTTAGATATATATAGATATAAATAAATATATATATAGATATTATGATATAAATAGATATATATATATATATATATATATATATATATATATAGATATAAAATAGAATTTTATAAGTCTTAGGCTAAAGCGGAATTATATGAGGCTATGCCTCATAATTTTTTARATGAGACACGAGACGTTTATTTTAAGTATTCATTATTTAAATAGTATTCATGATATATTATATTCATAACATTTAAAACTTTATATATGTATTTATTATTTCTATAAACAAGTTTATACAAATAATTATCATCGCCATAATTATTGATCATCAAGAGTCCACGATCAACGTTCGCGATAGCCATTTGTAATTGAATTTGATGATAATTTGGATGTAATTCTTCAATTAGTAATTCACCATTTGAATTAAAATATATTCCTCTTGATTGTCTTTCGAAACTGTTGTTTTCTTTRAACAATTCATTTGATAACAAATGATTACGAATATTATGTTTACTATAAAATTTTGGTGATTTAATTTCCACAACCATTGATGGCATTTCATGATTGTCAAAAATTAATCCATCAATTTCGCCACTTATCCAATAAAGAAATGGAGGTCGAATATGACATCCAGTAGTAACATTATATCCTTCGTATATTAATTTATCAAGAGCATCCAGTTCATTTTCATTATTTACATGTTTTCCGCCACATCTTTTTCTTCGAATAAACGATGTTTTTAATTTTGATTTTAATTTATCGATTTCATTATTAATGTAATAATTATATAAATGATAACTTTCGGTGATTGAAATTGTTTTTTTAATTTGATTTTGTACTCCATTAAATAAAATATCTTTATATTGATCGATTGTTGGCCAATATGATGTATAATAATATWTAGGTGTAAAATCACACATTATTAAATCTGTTTGCAAAATATTATAAAACAAATTATAATTTTGCTTCTCTGTTTTGTTTGACATGACTGACTTGTTTTCTGCTTAAGATTCCACTTATATAATATATATATATATTGTTTTGCGCATGCTCTAAAATCAGTATAAAATAAACTAGTATAGATGTTTAATAAAGTAGTTGATTATGGAGACTAAAATAACAAACATTTGTGCTAAATTTAATACAAATTGTGTAATAGATATAAATGAAATTCTTTTTAATGAATTTTATTACATTTTTACTAGTAAAAAGCTGAATCCACGTAAATTTARTGGATTAATAACTAAATATGAAAATACTAAATTAACGTTTATGATTTATTCTACTGGAAATATTGTTATAACTGGTGGTAAATCGGAAAAGGAAATAACAGATGCTGCCTATGATTTTATAGTTTATCTTAATTTACTTCAACCGGCAGATGGCATTGTAAAAGATCTAGTATTTACAAACTACTGCGCATCTGCAACCTTTGGTGAGAAGCTGGATCTTATCAAATTGGCAACAGAAAAACCTAAACAATGCTCGTATGAATTAGAGCTCTTTGTTAATGCAAAATATTATTTTAAAGAAAAAACATTTACATTAACAAGAAATGGAAATGTTTTTACTACTGGCATTAAAAAACCTGAAATAATATATGACTTATTCAATGATTTATACATTGAATTGAAGCCATTCATCACTGCGCATGAGTCATCAAAGCCTATRTAAGGAGCATTTTTATAAATATTTAATCATTCATAATGTTTCCTCCATTCGAGTCTGACTGCAAACATTTCAGCTCTTTTGACGAAACTTTCTGTCAAAAATGTACAGAAAATAATGTTAAATATTGGGATAAACGACTTAATAATTTTGAATCACATAGAATAAGCACATTTAAAAATTGGCCGTTACATTATGGATTAATTAAAAAACTTGCAAGACATGGATATTATTATACCGGACTTGAATCAAAAATTAAATGTAATTTTTGTGCAATTGAGCATTATGTAACYGATTTAACTGTTTTATTCAATTTTGAACATGACAAGAATTGCAATAAACAAGAAAATTATCCAACTGATGATGCTGATTACGAACTAAATTATTTATGCTGGTCACATTTATCAAGTGATTGGACAAATGATGGTGTAATTAATACGTTAAATTACATGCGATCGTACTTGTGGAATGTGAAGAAAAGCAATAAAATCCAATTACATTATTTAATACAAGAATTTGATGATTGGTTTAATTTTGAACTAATGAAAAAAGAACAAATCAACACTAATAATTCATTCGATACATGTCAATCAATTACACTTGGAAAATTTTTCCCTTAATCACATGGACTAAGCGTAAGAGTCATAAAACTCTACGAGTAAATGACTTTCGGGGTTTCCCTATTTTTTGTTCTTTAATGGGTTTATCCAAATATAGGTTTATTCATAATTTTTGTTTGACTTTTTAAATATTGATTAAATTCTTGATTGTTGTATTGTTCTGTAATCRACGTCTTGATCTAGAAGATTTTGGATGTAAGCAGTCATCCATTCATCATCTGATTCGTCACTAATATAATCGTCCATAGAATCAGAATCTTCAGAAATTATAGTATCTTCTGTCTTTGATATATAATTCTTCCATATATTACGACAGATAGGACAAGTAACTGGTAAATAACGATTTAATTGAGAAGTTGACCATTTTATTATACAGTTATTACAAAATTTATGAATACAAGGATTAAGCGCATTTTCATAAAATATTAATTGTTCAATATTTAAACATATTTGACATTTCTCGTTTGTATAATTTTGCTGATTATTTTCTAGATTTGCAGCCATTACTGAATCATTATCTTTATATGTTTATTCTATTATAAAGTATTTATATTTCCCTGTCCTAATATTTTTAGTTTTGCTTTTTTATGCTAATTAGTCATCTTTTATGTTTTTCTTATTTTTATGTTATTTTCAGGGAAATTCCCYCAACGTATTTCTAGGAATTTTATATTATTTTGGGTTTTTCCAGTTTATATGCATATTTAGAGGAAATTCGCTTTTTAATTACTTTTTTATGCTAATTAGGCTACTTTCTGTATTTTAGATCTTTATCAAGTGTTGGTTTTTCCTATTTTTAAGTTATTTTCAGGGGAATTCCCTTTTTAATTGCTATTTGTTTGGGTTTTTATGTTATTTTCAGGGAAATTCCCTTTTTAATTGCTATTTGTGTGGGTTTTTCCAGTTTTTATTTTATTTTCAGGAAATTCCCTTTTTAATTGCTTTTTTATGCTAATTAGTCTGCTTTCTGTATTTTAGATCTTTATCTAGTGTTGGTTTTACCTATTTATATGTTATTTTCAGGGGAATTCTCTTTTTAATTGCTGTTTGTGTGGGTTTTTCCAGTTTTTATGCTTATTTAGGGAAATTACATTTTTTAATTGCTTTTTTATGCTAATTARGCTCCTTTCTGTATTTTAGATCTTTATCTATTTTGTGTTTTTCGTATTTCATGTTATTTTCARGGGAATTCCCTCAACGTATTTCTAGGAATTTTTAATTATTTTGGGTTTTTCCAGTTTAGACTTGTTATAACTGGGATTTTTCGAGTATTAAGGTCAATAACCTTTTTGGGTTTTTCCAGTATTTAAGGTCAATAACCTTTTTGGGTTTTTCCAGTATTTAAGGTCAATGATCTTGAAAAACTGGGTTTTTCCAGTTTTTAAGGTCAATGACCTTGAAAAACTGGTTTTTCCAGTCTCTTGATTTTTAAACTGCTTTTAGATCGTTATCAGTAGTAGTATAAATWCAGAACCGAGTTAATAATAGKARGTAGTTTGCAATGAATTGTCTATCAAACATGTCTCAACCACAACTTTTTCCAATGCTGAATTTAATAAGACATTCTGCTATATCGACCAAGAAAATAAATAAGTTTAATAGAWKTGAAAGATCTACAGCATTTACAATTGAGCATGATTTGAATGAAGACCCGAATTTATATGAAATTAGACATGAAYTAGTATCACAGTTGGACGAAATTATAGAAGAAATGATGCCTGATGCTGATGCTAAGGATGTCATTACCTTAATATTATCTCATAGGGACATGGAAACGCCTATTTACATTAACACAAGAAAGGAAAATTTCTCTACTAATATGGTTTAYAAAAAGATGGAAATGGTGGCTCAATCATTCAAGACATTTTTCCTGGATAAACTCTTCAACTTRACAATTAGTACAAGCAAGCCTCAAGATGGTGGCGGGAAACCAAAGATCGCTAAAGCTCCAAAAACGATAGAACAAAGAAGCCATAATAAAAGAKCAGTTGTCCGGATAATAAATGACGATAACAGCTGTGGCCTAAGAGCTTTCTACGTTTCCAAGTATCACACGGACAACAAGAACAATCTAAACCCGAAAATTTGGCAGAATATAAGAAAAAACGTAAACTTGGCTCAGAATAATGGAGCGAATGAGTTGGCGATGAAATGTAGTATGGATTTAAACACAAGATTGGGGCATGATGAATGGAAACATATTCAARKGTGTTTTCCATTTCATCAAATTATAGTAATTYATGCAGACGATTGGACAGATGTCATGTTTAAAGGTCCAGATAGAAGTAAAAAAGTATACATTGAGCATAACAATGAGCATTACAACGCCATTGTGAATATAAGAGGGTACTTTGGGAAGAAATATTATTGTGAAGAGTGTATGATCTCTTACAATAATTTTTGTGACCATAAGTGCGAGTACAAATGTTCCCAGTGCTACGAAAAGTGTAGCGGAGAGTTAATAAATATATCCTGTTTTGATTGCAACAGGATATTTAGTAAACAAGATTGCTACGACAGACACAAGAAAAATAAATTATGCGGATACTTACATCAGTGTCCGGAATGCAGATTTATATATACAGCAAAAAATAAACACAAGTGTGGCTTCTATAGATGCAAGAAATGTAATCAAAGTACTCAAGAACAGCCACACTACTGCTACATTAAGCCGAAAGATGTTGACAATGTTCAAGAGCAAGACAGTATTAATAAGTTTATTGTAGCTTTCGACATTGAAAGTACACAGATAGATGGCGTTCATGTTCCGAATTTGGTAATATCTAAAGTGCAATGTGACAAGTGTACATCTTCTGGATGTACTACTTGTCCACATGAAGAAAAGGTGTACTTTGGAGACAACTGTATCAAGCAGTTTGTCGATTATCTTTACAACGAACTGGCCATAAAAGCAGAAAAGAAGAAATCCGAAATATATACTTTTGCTCATAATGCAAGAGGTTATGATGCCCAGTTTATATTAAAAGAACTCTGGAACCGATATTTCGATAAAGTAGAAGTAGTATTAAGAGGAAGGAAGATTTTATTTATGAAGTGTGGTAACGTGAAGATGATGGACAGTTTAAGTTTTTTCTGTCAGTCATTGGATAAGTTACCTAAAGCTCTGGGCCTGGACATTCAAGTAGCAAAGGGTGATTTTCCGCATTTATTTAACATGCCGGAAAATTACAACTATATTGGCCCTATACCAGATTCAAAGTTTTTCAGTCCGCAATATATGAATGAAGATAAACGAGAAAAGTTTTTTGATTGGTATAGACAGCAAGTAGATAGACGTGACTGGAATTTTAAAGAGGAATTAATTAGTTACTGTAGGAATGACGTAGATATTTTATTAGACTGTATTTTAAAATTTAGACATACATTTAGGGAATTGGAAGGTTTTGATCCAATTACTAATTGTTTTACATTAGCTTCTTTAGCCTTACAAGTCTATACTACAAATATATTAGGAGAAAAAGAGTTAGCTAATACACCAGTTAAAGGATACACAAAAACAAAGAATAGTTCAATTAGTGGTAGTAGTTGGTTAGATTGTATACAAAAGCAAAACAACATTACACTAAAAAGAGAATACAGAATAGGTAATTACTGGGTAGATGGGTTTTACAATAATACAGTATACGAGTTTTTAGGGTGCTATTGGCATGGATGTAGTTGCCAATTTACAAACAATAGAGATGAAAAGCTAATTAGAACTAAAAATGAGATAAACACACCCAATGAAAGATATGAATACACTATAGATAAGCTAAATTTTTTAAAGTCCAAGTATAATGTAGTTTCAATATGGGAGTGTCAATTTAATGAGCAACTTAAACACAATACAGATTTAAAAGATTACTATAACTCTCGTTTCCGCTATCATAAAAAACACACTTCTATACAAATTAGGGATAGTTTATTTGGGGGTAGAACTAATAATTTACAGTTTCATAAAAAAGCAGAATTAGATGAGGAAATAAAGTACTTGGACGTCTGTTCCCTTTATCCTTATGTTCTTAAATACTATCCCTATCCTCAGACACACCCTACAGTAATTAACGAGAATTTCGATTACTCGTTGGCCAATTATTTTGGCTTTATCAGGTGCACTGTTACCGCACCTAATAATTTATACTTGCCTATCCTTCCGGTTATGCAAGATCATAAATTATTATTTTCATTATGTCCACATTGTGCCGAAAGTAAATCAGATAGCTGTACCTGTAATAATAGATCTTTTACGGGTACTTGGACTAGCGAAGAACTAAAATTGGCACTAGATAATGGGTACATAATTGATGAGATATACGAGGTTTTGAATTATGAAAAGGATTACAGTAAGAATAAGTTTAAAGTATACGTAGATAAGTTTTTAAAGATTAAGCAAGAAAGTAGTGGTTGGCCTGAGTGGTGCAGTAATGAACAGTTGAAACAGGAATACATACAGAATTACGAACAGAAAGAAGGAATTAGATTAGATTACACAAAAATACAGAAAAATGAGGCCCTAAGATTCATTGCTAAATTAATGCTGAATTCTTTTTGGGGCAAGTTAGCACAGAAACCTAATCAGAATAGAACCCAAATTGTCAAGACTTTTAATGACTATTGGGGATTATTAACAGACGATACAAAAGAGATATTAGGAGAGACATTTGTTAATGAGGACACAATTATTTACACATGGATATATAAAGATGATGATAGAGATTACGCAAGAAATTACAATGTAGCTGTTGCTTCATTTGTAACTGCGTATGCTAGGATAAAGTTATATAAGATCATGGAACAAATTGAAAAGATAAGACCGAAAAGYTTACTATACCATGATACAGACTCCGTAATATTCTGGAGAAAGTTGACAGATCCCACTATTGAATGTGGTGATTATTTAGGAGATTTAACAGATGAGATCATAAAAGAGTACAGTAATAATTCGCGGTGTATTGAATTTACCGCTTTAGGACCAAAGAACTATGGTTATAAAGTACTTAAAGATGACGGCACTTGTGTGTCGCAATTTAAGTGTAAAGGTATAACTCTCCATTATAAAGCAAAACAGTCCATCAGTTTTGCTAATATGGTAGATATGGCACTTAAATTTAAAGATATACAGCAAAATACAATAATAAAAGTGCCTCAGCGTCAATTTGTCATTAATAAGTACAATGACATTAGAACTAAATATAATGATAAAGAATATAAAGTAACATCTGACAAACGCTACATATATGGGGAATATACTTTCCCATATGGCTTTGTCCAGTCTAGTACCGGAATATCTTTCACACCCACTGTATAATGGTGGTCTTTTCTCTCTAAGTCTGGTGCATAATGCCAGAATATCTTTCCCGAACCACTGTATAATGGTGGTCTTTTCTCTCTGTCCGGTACTATGACTTAGAAGGGGATGAAACTTGCTAATACCCCCAGGGTAAGCAARACTGGTATGTATAAAATTAAAAACCGGTTTATGACGTAATTATTATGTCATTGTTATTACGTCATTGTTATTACGTCATTGTTATTACGTCATTGTTATTACGTCATTGTTATTGCGTCATTGTTATTACGTCATTGTTATTACGTCATTGTTATTACGTCATTGTTATTACGTCATTGTTATTGCGTCATTGTTATTACGTCATTGTTATTACGTCATTGTTATTGTCCGCCATTGCTGCTCTCCCATTGCTGCTCTCCCATTGGTTGCCTAGCAAAAGTGTTATTGTAAACATAAAATATTAATAGTCAATATGTATAACAACAACAAAATAAAGCATTTATTTTATCAACAAAAAAAATATATTATCAAAAAATATTTTATGTGTTACACAATAATATTAATTGACAAACAGTTTAATACATTTTTACTATCAGTTAAAGTTTGATGTGAGCTATGAATCAAAACTTGTTTTTATTTTATTAAATATGTATACTAAAAGTAAATTTTGTTTTAAAAATAATTAAAATTAAATTCTATATTTATTAATTAATTATTTTATAATTAAATTTTTTGTTAAAATTTACTAAATAAAACTACAGCTAATAAAAAATAAATATTAAAATTTACATTGAATATAATCTGACAGTTTCTTAATATCTAATAATATTTATAAATTTTAAAGTTAATTGTATTTACAAAATACATATCTAAACTTTAGTACAGTTTTTGGTAGTATTGTAAGTATTGGTAAAAAATAACTAAAAAAATAATTCAAAAATTGTCTTAATTTTGTTTTTGTTATTCTAATGTTGTTTTTAAATATACTATATTATTGTAACATTTAATTGAAATTCAAAAATAAATAAATAAATAATTTATATAAAACTCAAATCTAATATATTTGATACAAAATTATTTACTTATAGAAATAAATGGCATTAAAAAAATATTAATTACTTTATTAATTATTAATATATAAATTTGTAAGTTTTACATTAAAATTTCAATTAAATGTTATAAAAACTGTTATTAAAATATGTTTAAGTTTAAATCTTTTATTATTAGTTTTATAATTATGTATTATTAGTTCAATCTCTTATAAATTCATTAAATAAATTGTATTTGTTTTTTTTTATTTAACAATTGCTAAAAAATAGTATATATTTTTAAATTATAGTTAAAATACTATTAATTTTAATAATAAACTTGTATTATAGTTAACTTATAATAAACAATAAATAATGATTTTTGTCACTAAAAAACATAATTAATTTAAAATTTTCTATTAATTACTTATTGTATTTATATTTTAAAATACTTAATTAGAAAAAAATTAAATTATATTATTAAACATTAAAAATCTATTTAGATATTGTAGCAACTTTCGTGCGGTAATCATTTGTAGGACTGTTTTCATGTTACTTTCGACACGTTTCTCCCCTTTGACCACCATCCCCAACGGTAAGGTTACACGGTCACTACACGGATCGACACCTCACGTGACGATACCCTCAACAGTATCTCTATTCGTTGCTCAGATCACCACAATACATGACACAACTTTATTATCTTTACCTTTGACTATTATGTGACAAGATTTCCAAGACAAACTCCAACGATTAGATCCACTGTTCCGCCGTTGATTACACCAACGCTATACTTTTATATCAACCTTTAATTATACTTACTCCCAAATATCTCTGCCCGCTTACCTCGGAAGGGACGCGGGCGCAGGGCCCGGTCCCTTCAATAACTTACACCTCAAAGTTCAATTAAAACCTTTACCTTTATTTATTATACTAATTTTATGAGGGATACAGGTAAATATACGTCTCTCCACTTCGAAGGCCAGATCACCACTCTCTTCTCTCTCTCCAAAATTCAACTCAACTCAGATCAAGAGAAACATCTAAACACATGCGTGGTTTAACATATTGTTGTAAGTACTCAGTGCCATTTCAAAGCTAAGATTTTTGATTCAAAGAGAATTTAACACAAGGCTGTTTTATTTTTATTTAAATAATTATATTTTCAAACCAAGGTTTGTTTAATACTAACATGTATTACTACTAACTTTGATTTAATTTATAATTTTATTAACAAAAATTATTTTGTTTGTTTTTAACTTTTCTCAGATAATATTCAATCTTAAAATACATTGAAATGTTATACAGAAAAGTGAATAGTAAGCACCTACTTTTTAGCAAAGTTTTATGATATTTTTACTTAGTATTTCACTGTTAAAATAATGTATTGAAATATTATACAGAAAAGTGAATGGTTTACGCCCAGTTTAGAATAGGGATTAAAGCTGACTCAATACGGCCTAATTATTTCTCACGTACACTTTAGTATAAATAGAGGTGTCTTTCAGACACCAAAATCAGTTCTTCACTTGGAGTCATACCGTGTGTATTACTTTAAAGTGTTTCAATAAAAGTATTTGCATATTACTTTGTGTGTGTTTACTTTCTCGACGCGGACCAACCGTTGGACATCACAAGGGACGCCTTTTGATAACTCCATAACCACGCGGACGTTAAACAACTATTACGTAAGTAAATATTTTTATTATGAGAACTCCGGACTCCGTATCCGTAAACGGACGACTCTTAGGATACCTTAGTATAACCGTTATTGAGTAATCTTTATTAAGTAAACCATAATTTATAACCTTATGTCCTGTAACCCTTGACGGGACTGTGTCCCTTGACGGGACTGTGTCCCTTGACGGGACTGTGTCCCTTGACGGGCCTGCGACTCGACGGGACTGTGTCCCTTGACGGGTCTGTAACCCTTGACGGGTCTGAAACCCTTGACGGGTCTGAAACCCTTGACGAGTCTGAAACCCTTGACGGGTGCCAGACCCTAGATGGGTGCCAGACCCTGGATGGGTGCCAGACCCAGGATGGGTACCAGAACCAGGATGGGTACCAGACCTCAGATGGGTGCCTGTCCCAGGATGGGTCCATGATCCCAGATGGGTGCCTTGCCCATAATAAACATTTAACGAGTCTGTAATACTGTACGTGTAGCTCTTAGCATTACTTAAAAGATAGAAAAATAGAATACTCAGAGTTAACATAGGAAAGCCGCTCGTTCCTTAGCCACGTATTACTATAGGTTATCACTACAAGAGTCAAAACCGTAAGGTAAGTGGTGTATTGTCGAGTGTTTGGTTTACATAAGTAAGGTTAGACAAGATTAGATACCCGTAATATACCCACTTCCCCTACATTTGGTGTGCAGCTTCCGGGATTAAATGAATCTATTTTGATCGGCGCTTAGTCTAAGATAAACAGCTTTAGACGTAGCCAAACTATATAAATATATTATTGATTATGAATTAAATTTTTATAATTGCAAGTTTATTTACATGAGTTAATAAACATGAAGTCAATAAACTTGTTACAGCGTAGGAAACGAAAAATCTTTAAAGGATATCGGCATAACAATGTACGACATAAATACAGCGAAAACTACTATTTAAATTATCAATATTTTAAAACACCTTTGACAAGTTTCCTACAAGTACACTACATGTCTCGGGATTCACAGACTCGGTTTAAAAGATTAAGAATAAGATATACTTTACCAAAGTGTAGACCATATAATATACCTGACTTTGGAAAAAGTAAACTACCGGCGGTGAATCAAAAAACTAAACTTCGCAGTGTGGTAGTCATACCACCATCAAATAAATACTTATTAGCAGACGTAAGTCGAATAGAATATAATAGACTCATGCTGTCTACTGATATGACACTCGCCATCACACAATTTATTTGTGAAGTCAGAAAAAATTCTAATCAGCAATATCTGGGAAACCGAAAAGATTGTCTTTGTCAAGATAATAAAAAATAATTTAATAATAATTTAAGTTTAATAATTGATTATTTAAGACTCAAATAATTATTTGAGATAAAAATAATCAACGTATCAAATATTATAAAATGTTAATTATTTTTAAACACAACTTACTTGATAATACAAAATATCTTGTTAAAAAATATTTAATTAAATAAATAATTTTAAAATAAATTTTATTCAAAAAGTTACACGCAAATTAAATTGATAATAATGAAAATTAGTTATGTCGTAGCCATCTAACAAATACCCAATGAATAACAAACAGGATTGAAAAACTTCAATGTCTTCCAATTGAGAAAAGTAAAGACGCCTAATAGTTAATACATTAGTACATACTCGTATAAGTCTCTGTAATGTGTAAGGTAAATAGCGTCTACGTCTTGCTCTTTGTATTGGATCAAAAACATAAACAACTGAGAGATAAGATACTTAAATTAATTTAAAGCATTTCAATTATAATCATAAATTAAAAATAAAACCGTTATTTTTAATAATTAACAACAATGGGTCAATTCCAGTTGTAGTATCAGTGTTTATCAATAGGTTTATGATTCCTGAATTACGCGATATTAAATTTATTTGAGTAGTTGCTTGTATGAAATTTGAGAAATAGTAATACTGGTCCATGTTTCCAAATGTGTTTCCAACAATATTGTTTAAAAAATCCAAACCGTTTGAAATATTTCGAAAAGTGTGAACCAATAAATTAGTTGTAATAGTATAGTCGGGATTTGTTGGTACAATCTCTAAAAAATTTCTCCACAGACATACAAGGTTATGACGGGATGATATAACTCTACGTCTCCCATTACTATAAAATGATCGTCTAATAATCTTGATCAGTATCAATAATTAAAATTAAATTTATAATTACCTTAGAGGTCCGGTATATGAGAAGTAAATTCGTAATTCTTCAAATTCTGAAAACATACGGTTTATAATATTTACTGTAGTGTTGTCTTCAATGTCGGACACATCATCCAATA